GGGCCAATGTCTTTTGGTTTTTTTTTTTTTTTTTTTTTTTTTTTTTTGGAATTTGATGTTAATTAGTATGTTAAATGTGTGAAATAAAATGTAATATAAACTAAATTCGTTCATTTTTTTTTTGTTTTGTTGGTAATAAGTGTAACACTCCAGTTGTAGTAGTAAAATAACATGTTTACAAGATAATCATTCCGTACATATCTTTCTTGCTTTTATTATTTCATTACAAATTGTTTCTTATGAACTACATGACTATAGTACGAAAGAACATACCAACTATTATAGTATCTTATGTAGCCATGGTCATCCTCATATAGAGGTCTATGCACCATGATTTAACATTACATATCATTCAATGCTATACATGTCATAGAAAATCTTACAAGTATGATCAATGTCGAGGGTTATGTACTCACTTCTTGAAGCTTGGGATTTAAATTCAGGATCTTTAGGTTCTTCGATGTATTATAACTCTTCGCACCTACGAATTATCATACATATGTATGTTTGTCATCACAAAAGTCGATGTAATACATTAATCACATCAACTAACTTGACTTTTTTCACCTTGTCTAGCTACTCGGAAATCAATACTTTTTCATGATTCTTTTCTTATTACTCAGACATATAGCTTAATTATAGCATTGTCTATTACAATAATTATCAATATACCTTATACCATTCATTCATCAATTCCCCTTCATTTCAATTTGACTTTCTAGGTCAAATGCCATTTCAATATGTGGACTCACTACGATGCATTATAGTTAAAGTAGCATTACCAGGGAATATAACTACTTATCTATAACATATATAGTTTTAAACCACTAATGGACGAATAACACTATAAGCTCAAAACCCTAACTTTAACTCAAGATCATATAGGTTATTACCTCGTATTAGTGTTGCATGATGATCAAGTTGTGATTATAGTGGTTGATAGCCATCAAAGATGGTATAATCTTCACCTAAATTCAACTTAAAGGTTTGTAACATCCGAATTTTTAGGTATGAATCTTTAAGTAAAACTATGAGTTTTTGGATGACCACGATGTGGTGGAGGAATCACCACGACGTGAAAAGGTTGCATGAAAAGTGCATTTCTTTTAGCCTCCATGACGTGGCAAAGTATGTGCCACGACGTGGGGATTGATTTTGGGAAAACCATAAATTTCTAGGATTATGGCCCTATTTAAGGGAAGTAATGGCTAGGGTTTCCTTTACCCTTAGCCTCCATCACCTCTAAAAGCCTTGAAGGAAACCCTAATCCCCCTCCTCCATTTTTTAGCTTACTTTGGTGTTTTGATGCATTTAGAAGGAAGAAGAAGAAGGTTCTAGTGCAAGAATCAAGCAAGCAACTCCTCACCACCTTTGAGATCTCCTTCTGGACCTTTGCAAGTCCTCTTTTTTCGAATCTTGTTGGATAGCTCTCTTTAGATCTAAGTTTTATTGGCTTTTCTTCATATTCTTGGTGTTTTGAGTGGTTGGATTCAATAAAGTTTGCAACTTTATTGATCCTTGTAGTCCCAATAGGGTTTGATGTTCTAGATCTAAAGGTTATGTAACTTTTAGCTAATGTAGGGATCTTGACCCCATTTATGACATTTTTGACCTAGTTGAGCTAATGATATGCATTGGACATGCATGCCATCAAAGCAAGGAATTTTATGGACCATTAGGGTCCCCAGAAGCCCCCTGGAAGGTATGAGCTTAGGACTTAACTGATTGAGAGCTTAATCCATTAAGCTCTTCATTGTGTAGTTTCCATGACGTGGTGACATGATTGCCATGTCGTGGCAATTTCACTGGCAGTGACTGTTTTGTCAAGAAGGTGCCACGATGTGACCAAAGGATGGCCACGACGTGGATGTCAAGTGATGTTGACCTTGACCGTTAACTTTTGACAAGGTTTGACTTTTATTCAAAACTGATAGTTTTGGAAGGTAGACTAAGGGTTTACCTTTTATGATTTGGTGTGAGGTGTGTAGCACTCGTTTTTTAGCTGTGTGAGCTTGTTAGCTATCAACTACAATTGTGAGGTGAGTCTTCTCACTAGACAATATAGGATGCTAGTTCTTTTTATGACTCTTGCATGGAAGACTAGGATTTGGCCCCTGAAACTTGTATGAAAGACCAGGGTTTGGCCCCTGGCATTTGTATAAAAGACCAGGGTTTGACCCCTGGCATTTGTATGGAAGACCAGGATTTGACCCCTAACACTTGTACAGGTAAAGACCATGATTTGACCCATGGCAGAAAGTGATTGTAAGACTATGATTTGGCCCATGGCATTCACTTGGGGTTAAGATAGACCCATTATGTTATGTATTGTATGTGGTATTTTGGGGAGCTCACTAAGCTTTGTGTTTACAGTTTTGTGGTTTAAATGTTTCAGGTACTTCTGGTTCGAAAGGGAAGGGTCCGAGTTGATCGCACAACGTCCCCTGAAGATTGTTCCACACTTTTTATCTGCTTCACTCTGATGTTTGAGAATACTTTTTATATTGTTTGGTTTTGAAAACAATTGGTTGTATCGCGTTTGGGTATTTTGAAAAATGAAAATTTTATTGGTGTTTTAGGATGTTTCAAGTTGGTATTAGAGCATTGGTTTGCAGGATTCAGGCACACTCTTGGGTGCGTCTGAACTCCAACTGAGGAAATGATAAATCTTTTGCAAGAAAACAATTTTTTTTTCTAAAAAGGTCCTTATAAGGAAAAGGGGTGCGATGGTGCAATCAGCCGAACGCCAGTAAGTGATTCCCAGAATACCTATACACGAATGTTATACTTTTGTATACTATTATGTGAGTTGCATAGTAGAATGTCTAAGGATCCTTTCAGGAATTGCGTGATAAAGTTGCATGATATTTGTGATGCCTTATAGCCTAGGAAGTTGTTATGTACTACCTGGAGTTTAGATTGACAATGTTAATTGCTAAGTGTATGTTTTAGGATTGTACACGATAAGGATTATATAGCCTTAGAATGATTGATTTAGTCTTATTTCATGCTCCTTGTTTGGTTATTGGCTTAGGGTAAAATCATTTATTCGACAATCTACTTGATCTTGTATTGTGTATAATCTACATGCATAAAGCAACTAGCGGCGTTGGTAGAAATTCCTAGTAATACAGAAGAAAGTGAGATGAGGATTCCTAGGAGGGCCTAGGAAGTGCTTTAGTAAGATATGTATGTTGTTTAGCATAGGGCTCATGAGAGTCTCCGTAGTGGAGTGACATAGAGGATTCAGGATGATTCTTGAGGAAAGCATGGATAGGTGTGGAAGGTAGTATTGGGCCCGTACTACTAGAAGCACAAGATTTATACTCGGATCATGGAGAGTCACAGAAACTCTAGGGAGCTTTAGCATGAGGGATTTTTTTGGGTATGTTCTAATTTTTTGTATTGTTGCCTTTCAGTATGGTGGTGGTTACCCAAGGTTCTGGTTCTAGTTCTGGTTCAGGCGCTGATGTTGAACCAACTGATGAGAGGATATGCGAGTTTATCACGTTTGAGATCATGTGAGGTATCTTCGATGTGACTCCTGTGATGTTCGGTACTATCAATGAGGGGATCATGGAGATATTGCATGAGCGCATGGGGGCCTTTCGCGTAGAGATTGCAGCTGGTCAATTTGGGGCCTGGACTCTCACATTTCGGGAGTTCAAGGCTTATGAAGCCCCATAGCTCTTCGTGAAGAAGGACCCTATTACCAGCAGACAGTGGACAACAAATATGAAGAGCGCTCAACGGATCAATTTCTGACCTGAGGGATCGAGGTTGAAGTTTGCATCTTGTCTTCTAAGGGATTGAGCTCGCGACTAGTTACAGCTTGTCTTCACCTGATTGAGGTGTTAATTACACCAATATGCACCTCGATATTTTGATGCAACACATGAACATCCAACGCCCAAGTGAGTATTCGGTCTCATACCCTACATCCCGACATGGGATGAGCTTTGGGCGGAGCAACACGAAGGAGCCGGTAGAAATGGAGGAGGAGATGATGATGAGTGAAATTATCCTTTTTATTTGTTTGAGTGAATTTAAGACAATTTTATTTGTATTTGTTTGTGTTTGGTTTGTTTTATTTTCAATTTTTTAGGATGATGGTAATTTTAGGATTTAAGTGCTTTATTTTATTTGTTTCCTTGTTATTATTGTTTTTTGTCTCTAGATTTCCCAGAAGTTCAAGTTGATGAGAGGAGTATTTTTAGTGAGAGACTTTGATGAATTTAAGTGAGGGGTTAGAAGTGCGGCAAGAGAGGCGAATTTGAGCATATAGAGCATTAGTTTAATCACCCGAGCTAATGAGTCACATTTCCAGAAGTTCATATTATCATTAGTGACCAACTTATTGCAAAAATCTGCTGTGAAATGCACTTATTTTCACATTTTTACACACACCACGATGTGGTCACAATTGCCACGACGTGGTGTCGGTACGGAATACACAAATTATTTGTCACCGGCTTAACATGACGTGGTGACTGTCTCAAGTCCAATTTTTGAGTCTTTTTCTTACGCCTCACGAAGTACAAAATGTCCAAGTCTTCAAGATGATTTCCATAGTAGTTAACCACTTCCATATTTCCATATATCAACGAGCGATCCTACACACACGCAACACGATTGATCTTTCAACTTCTATCCCATGGGAGTCTATTCTTTTCTCCCTCTTTACTTTCATGTTTTGTATAGCATGCAATGATGACATTGCATCAAATAAGTGTGGGGTAAATGGTTTATTGCATTAGGAAAAAGAATTTTATTTTTGAAATTTTGTATTGTCATAAAATTGCTAGTTTTTACAATATGTATTCATATAAAATTGCAATAATAGTTTAATTTAGGAAAATCTAGCCAATTAAAAAATTTTCTAGCATTGTGTGGGATGATCCGATGAGAGCTCAAATGTTTACTTGAGCCAACACATGTTATAGTGTATTTGTGGCTTCCCATTATTAGTGAAAAGTCATGAGATA